TAAAATATATTAATAATGTTATTAATTTAAATACATCATGTAATACGTTTTAAGTATTAATTTTTGAGAATATTTTGCAACAAATGTATCGATGAAACTGTCATGTTGACAGATAATTGCTTTGATTAATTTGACATAATTGTCACACAATACTTGTCAGATTGACAGCTTTATAAAATACAATTTTATGTAACATTTAGCAACATTTGTATAACATAAAATATATTAATAATGTTACTAATTTATATACATCATGTAATACAATTAAGTATTAATTTTTGAGAATATTTTGCAAAAGAAATATCGATGAAACTGTCATGTTGACAGATAATTGCTTTGATTAATTTGACATAACTGTTTCTTACTGTCGTTGAATGCAATGTGCTGCGGTGAGGACGAAGAGATCCGAAATGAGGCTTCCGCTGCAGAAGAATTGGTCCTTGTGCAGGAGCAAGGCCAACCAAGGATACATGTGTTCCGCGATGCCGGTACCGTTAATTATCCTCGTGATCGGGGAGGCGGCGGCGGCTCTCCTCCAAACCCCATTGCTCGCACCGCACGCTGCAAAAGAAACGCAAGATACACCAAGGACGACGAAGCCGGACGAAGGTAACAAGAACAACAACAACAATTAGGAAGACTCACAGCATTGACGCAACAGCTGACCGCCCGGATGAAACAGACCCAAATACTTTTGACGTCTCTCCGTCGACGCCATGACAATCATCAAACACAAGACGATCGAAACAAAAGCCTTGCGAAGACGGCCATCATCGTCGTTGATTTTCGTTCGTCCTGTCATGGCCAACTCCGCACTCGACTACTACATTCATCCAGGCGGAGAGCGAAATTTTTGTTACATTCGTAATCCGGGAGCCCGCATCTCTCTTTCTCCTTATCAATTTGGAGCGCGCTTATTAGGGGAAAAGCCTCAGCTCGAGTGGAAAGCCAGATTGCGAGTAGAAATTACATATTTCGCAACAACACTTCTGCACAAAAACTCCAATACTTTCCACTCCTCTCCATCCCGTATACGCTCTTCCATTCCACTCGAAGAATACAAAAGCTCAAATTCCGAACTTCCTCATCTACACATTCCCATCTGTGAAACACACTTAAAATACGAAACAATTTCGTTTGTTTTTAAGTTACTTTATTGCAAATATTAAAGCTAACATCAAGAGTGTCCTTGCGAAATTTGGGTTAACTTTTCGCCAAAAAAAAAAAAACAAAAAAAAACAAATGAGCATCAAACGTCACTTGTAAATGGAATAAGTGCGTCCTTCTAAAACTACAAGTCTTACTGAAATTGAATTTTTTATAATTGAAGTAATGTTTACTGCTTATTAACTACTATTCTTCATTATTTAGTCTACATCTACGTTTAAACTGTTAAAAGCAATTTTTAATTATTTGTAAAATATTTGTAATTCTCGAAATCACTGTTTACTATTTAGTCTATTATAACAGATGAAAAGATCAAAAATAGCAAAAGCAATCATTGAAAAAACAAACGAAACTAAATTGCGTTGCTTTTACCCGGAGTGCTTTGATCGCATCAAAAAATCAATTAAAAGCGTTCATGTTCTGCAATTACTTTGCTTTAGCGATGATGTTGATGATGATGACATTCGCATTCATAAAATTCGTGTAAATTGCGTGAAATTCACAAAGTACACTCGAACTCTACAAAAAAAAAATGGAAATTTGTGTAATTAGACGAAAACGCAGTTGAAGGTTATAAGTCGAGCATTAAGTGTCTGTTATCTATTGCAACGCGAAAATAAAAATAAAGTACGTAAAGGAAACAACAGAAAATGACTAATTGCATGGGTGCAACAATTAAAAATTATAAATAGTTTCGCACAAAGAAACGAAGACATATAAGCGAGTCGCTCCACAAATTGCAATATTTCACTATCAGTAAGTGCACTGTTCGATGTGTGTAAGTAGACTTAACATATTTTCACTAAATATTAAGAGAACTTTAATAATCTAGAATGCGTAACATTTGAACTAACGCTATTCTCATGTTTTGAGAAGCAGAAAACAAATGCCAGTTGCGAGTAGTTCAGATTGTTCAAAGTTGGATTAATATAATTGTTTTAAAACTGGAAAAAAAAAGAAAAAACGAAGAAGTAGTTTCAGAAATAAAATAAACATTCAAATACTTTGGAGTTTGCTCTTGACGCAATAAACATTTTTGTAATTAGTTTCCTACAAATTCCGAAAACAGTTTCCTGGACATTACGCGTCGATTCTCATTATCCGTTTGGATGCGTTTTAAAGTTGTAGCACTTGTGCATGCATACGAAGGAGGGAATAATAATTGGAGCTAGAACCGGAAAAAATACACGGTTCTTTTCAGAAGTGAAAAAAAAATAACAACTCGGACATTAATAAGAATGATAAAGAGAAGTTGCGGCAATAACACTTAAATAACATTAAATTGTGTTACGAAATTGGGCTGAAATCGAGTATATAAGTAAACTAAATTGAACAGGAAATGCACAATTTTCTGAGAACGTTGCAAAATTCTTTGATTCTGAAGATTGATAATAATTATATCTTTTATATCTCAGTTAAGATTCAATTCAATTTCGAATTTTTTTCCAACAATTTGAGCTACAAAGATTTATAGAATGTAAATTCAAAACAATTTTAAATAAATTACATTTTCTAACATCACTTTTCGTTTTGCGAAAAAAAAATTGAAAATTAGTGTGTTCATTTTTTTCGTTTTTCTTGAAACCTATGCAAGTCAGACTAAAGTTTATACGTTTATTTAAAAGCTAAAACTATAGATATTAATAATATTATAATGATACAAACGTAACTCTTGTAGATTTATAGTAATAAAGTCTCAAATTTGTTAACATAATATTTTTATTCGACACTTTACATTTTAGTGTTTTCCTCGATTACTGCGAAAGATATATTTGATATTTTGCATTCATATTAAAGCTAAAACTATACGAATTAGTAATAAGATTAAAATTATAACTACAATTACTATAATAGTATTATTTTTTCAAATTTTTTCCAACAATTTCAGCTACAAAGATTTATAGAGAAAAAAAGTTTAAAATTTGAAAAAAAACTACGGTTTCTTTACTATTTTTTTCTCTTCATCTAGATTACAGCTTATTATTAAATTAAAAACCCCCATGAATTTGCAATAAAGTAGTTAATTTTTGTCTATTACTGATAGCAATCAAAATAAGACTTTTCCTAAACAATTCGAAAACAGTTTTAACTATTACTGACTTACTTTGTGATACGTTATTTATACTCTACATGTAATACTTAGTCGGTTGTAACAATTCTTAAGATATATAGTTTTGTACAAGTGTAATTAAATCATGAAGCAGCAAATCTTTTCCGTTTTTCTTTTTCATCATCATTAAATCACCAGACGTTATTTAACAAACGCGTAACAAGTACAACAATCTCAACAATTATACGTATCTAGTAGTAGTTTTTGTTGTTGTTTTCAATGTAAATTCAAAACAATTTAAAATAAATTACATTTTCTAACATCACTTTTCGTTTTGCGAAAAAAAAAATTAAAATTAGAGTGTTCATTTTTTTCGTTTTTCTTGAAACCTACGCAAGTCAGACTAAAGTTTATACGTTTATTTAAAAGCTAAAACTATAGATATTAATAATATTGTATTGTTAAAAGTATTGTTCTCACGAATATTGAGTAATGCTCCATCAAAATTTAATACTTTAGAATATTTTTTTTTAAATTAAAATATTATATTTTTTCTTGAAACAATCTAAAATTCCCTAAAGTTACAATAAATATCAAAAAGTTTCGATTGAATATGTCATAAATCATTATTGATAACAATTGATAACAATAAATCGGACGAAAGCAATAATTATTTAAAATTGAAAATTGAAAAATCGGTGCGTTTATTTTTATCGTTTTTCTTAAAAACTGCGAAAGTCAAATTAACGTTTTTACGTTTATATTGAAGCTAAAACTATAAATATTAATAATATTATAATGATACAAACGTAATTCTTGTAGATTTAGAGTAATAAAGTCTCAAATTTGTTAGCGTAATATTTTTATTCGACCCTTTGCATTTTAGTGTTTCCTCGATTACTGCAAAATATATATTTGATATTTTCCATTCATATTAAAGCTAAAACTGTACGAATTAGTAATTGAATTAAAATTATAACTACAATCACTATAATAGTATTATTTTTAACAAATTATTTTTTTTTTGTTTTTGATCGATTTTGTGCATCAAATTCATGGACCTTGGTTGGTGCGTTTATTTTTTTCGTTTTTCTTAAAAACTACGAAAGTCAAATTAACGTTTTTACGTTTATATTGAAGCTAAAACTATAAATATTAATAATATTGCGATGATACAAACGTAACTCTTGTAGATTTAGAGTAATAGTCTCAAATTTGTTAGCATAATATTTTTATTCGACCTTTTACATTTTAGTGTTTTCCTCGATTACTGCAAAAGATATATTTGATATTTTGCATTCATATTAAAGCTAAAACTATACGAATTAGTAATTGGACTAAAATTATAACTATAATTACTATAATAATATTATTTTTTCAGTTTGCAAATTAGTATAATGATTCACATAAAAACAAATTGATTTGTGAATCAAATTCGTGGATCTTAGACCTTAATTTTGAAATATGTAGTAATTGAATTAAAAACGAAAGTTTAAGTTGACTAATTGCTGAATGTATTGAAGAATTTATTGTAGTTTTAGGGACGAGAACAAGTTTCGTAGGTTTTACGTCGACATGTAAGAAATGTTTGTGTGATTGAAAAGTGAAAATGTATGTGGAGAAGAAGGTAAAAAGCGGTCAAATCACCTGAAACTATGTGCATGCGACTAATCGTGGCTTCAATTAGTTGGTGATTAGGTTCGATATTAGTTTTTCAGTTCGAATAATGGCGAAGTATTCGTGCTCGTTGTTTCCCCCCCCCACACGACGTGTTTTCGCGTACGAAATCCAAACAGAAAATCAAATTACTTCTCTTTCTCTCTTCGGCGAAGAACTCACACAAAAAAAAGAAATAAAGGAGGAGGGGGCGCGACAAGTGCATCGGATATATTTTGCAAGCGGCCGTCGAAAAACATTCCTAGTTTAAATATTGGTGGAGGAAGTTTGCTCATCATCAACATCATCGTCATCCATGAAGACACAGTCGAAGACAAAATTTTTAATACATTTCTAACACACTTTAACACTTTTGTGCAAAAAAAAAAACAATGAAGATGACGACGGAGATGACGACCACTGAAGACGACACCAAAAGAAGCAGCGATACACACATGAAGCTTCCAGCTGAAATCGGCACCGATTACACCTTCAAAAGGAAGATCGTCTGGTTCAACGCGATAGGATTCCTGCTGCTTCACCTATGCGGACTGTACGGCGTATACAGGGTCTTCTACGCCAACGCGGCGACCTTCCTCTGGAGTGAGTACTCAAAAAATTCTTAAAGCCATTACAGAGAAAACGACAAAAAAAAAAATCAATTCTCTTATCAAAAAGACGAAATTACGAAACAACCGCAATTGTTTCCTCTTGAAGCAACGTCGCGTGGCGAATCCCATTGTCCACGGACAACCGAATAGAAAACAAACGCAATCTTATTGTCCAACGCACGCTCTTCGACTTATGCAATTCGACTTCTCGTTTTCGCTTTTATTAATCTTTTGTTTCAGTGGGCGTTTTGGCTCTGGCCTCAGGCGAAGGCGTCACGATCGGAGCCCATCGACTCTTCTCCCACAAATCCTTCAAAGCCACCTTAGCCCTGCGGATGCTCCTCGTCATCCTGCAAACCATCGCCGGACAGGTTAGTCTCATTTCATAATCAATCAAATTATCAACATTCTTTCGAGTAAACAGTTTCAATTATTTTGAAATCATCTACAGAAAAACCTAATTATCCTAACACTAATTGCGTTTAACTAAAACTAAAGCTGAAAGTAATTAGAATTTGAACGAATTTCTATAAATAAAGAAAATAAGTATTGAAATTTTCCATTTCTAAAAATTCCACCATATTCAATTACTAAATATTAATAATCTAGAGTGTGTAACATTTGAAGTAACGCTATTCTCATGTTTTGAGAAGCAGAAAACAAATGCCAGTTGCGAGTAGTTCAAATTGTTCAAAGTTGGATTACTATTTCTGAAGTATAAAAATGTTTTGAAACTTTTGCTTAATTTAACTCTTAAGATTTATTGCTCAATGGATAAAACTGTTGCTTCACATGTTAAATGTTAAATGAAACGTGCGAATGAAATGTATAATCAAAATTTCTTCACAACGATCGTAGCGGAATTATATGGATTGCGGAATTACGAGAACAACAAAAAAATAAATTAGAAGAGAATATGGAAATAATTAAAAGTCGATTAAGCCGGAGGAAATGCGTGAAAACGTGCTCGTTAAACTGTAAAACTTTTACTTTTCAAACATATTTGGATAAACCGTAGCAATATCTTCTCAATCATCGTTTCTCCACTAATTATAGGAGAAGGCTTTGATGTTGCGTTTCCGGATGCGCGAACCAAATAACAAAAAAAAACAACAGAAGCCTTGACACATTAAGCAATTGTTTATATATATACATAAAGCACACACACACACATAAGCATAGCCACCTCGGATCGTAATTGACGTTTCATTATTTTTATTAAACAAATCGTGTACTTAAACCACTACTACTACTACTAAGTCCATGTTCTTCTTTTTTTTTTTGGTTTTGTTTTATACACATGAATTTTGTTTCTTGCGGGTTACAAGGTTAATGGTTGATGCACTGTGAATCCGATGAACAAATGAAACATAATAAAACAAAACAATAACAAAAACAAACAAAAAAATGAGTTCTCGCGATGATTTTGTTTCCTTTCTTTTGTTTTGTAACCGCGGAAGCAGTCGGAAAAGTGCACTTAATGATAGGTCTCTTCTCTTCGGTTCCGGCACGATAAACATTCGTGTTTTTTTTTTTTGCTTCTTCTCTTATTTCTTTAGTGGAAACGCGAAATAATTAGTCGCATCGCTTATTATAATATCGCGTAACCGCGTAAATAATTTATCTTTAAGCGTTACGTGCGCTTTCTTGTAATCTAAATGTTCGTTAGATGCACTTGCAATTGGAGCGTTTATGAATATTTGTAATAACAAAATGTTAGTTATTGTTCAAATTTGTAAACCTTGTCCCAGTTTTGTTATTGACAAGATATTATAGTTTGTACACTTTCCTTGTCAAGAGTATTTATGTTTTTTTTTTCTTTCTTTTCAGAACTGTTTGTACATTTGGGTTAGAGATCACCGTCAGCATCACAAGTACTCGGACACCGACGCGGACCCACACAACGCGTACAGAGGTTTCTTCTTCTCGCACGTCGGTTGGTTGATGAGCAGAAAACATCCCGCGGTCATAAGCAAAGGTAAAACCATCGACATGTCCGATTTGGAGGCGGATTGGATCGTGATGTTGCAGAAGAAGTAAGTGAGAGAAATCTAATTGAAACATGATCATCAAAATCAACTTTGAATTCAGATACTACAAACCTTTGTACGTCGTCTTCGCGTTGGCGCTTCCCATCTTCGTGCCCGTCTACTTCTGGAACGAGACGTGGTGGAACTCCCTGTTCATCAGCTACTTCCTCCGCTACATCGTCGTGTTGAACATCACCTGGTTAGTGAACAGCGCGGCGCATTTCTACGGCATGAAACCCTACGACAGCACCATGCGACCCTCCGAATGCATGACCGTCTCCATCCTGTCGCAAGGCGAGGGTTGGCATAACTACCATCACACGTTCCCATGGGATTACAGAGCTGCAGAGTTCGGAACTCGCGTCTCCTTGACGACGCTCACCATAGACGCCCTGGCGATGCTCGGATTCGCGTACGATCTGAGGACGACCTCCAAGAAGATCATACAGCAACGCGTCTTGAGAACCGGAGACGGTTCGCATCCCATCAGCAAATCCGCGGCAACTTGATCCCAAATTCAATGTGTTTTGTTTGTATGTTCATTTTTTTTTTATTATTTTTGTTTTGTTATTTATTCTACTCCCTCTACCAAATATTAACTCTACGAAATTGTTATATTTCTTAAGAAATCGACCTGTTGTAGATAAACGAAAATATATAGAGTTTAAACTAAATTTCTTGTGTACAATTTTTAAATATATCTCAAGTTTAAAAATGCATTACTTACAAACCAAAAGCGACACAATAATTTATTTACCCACAATTTATTCATTATAGTATTATCTTTGCAATGCATACTCACATTTTTGTTTGTCATTGATATTTCCAAAGATATTAACTAAAATACGAGATGTTTTATTTTTTTGTAATACAATTATATCGCTTTAAATTTGAAAATTGTATTACTAACAAATCAAAAGCAACAGAAACAATTATTTGCTCTTAATTTGTTCATTTTAGTATCAGCTTTAAAATGCATATTCATACTTTAATTAGTTTTTAATATTTATAAAGATATACTATTTTTTCTTTTCGAAACTTACAATTATTTTTCTTCAAATTTGAAAACTCATTACTAACAAACCAAAAGCGACACAATAATTTATTTACCTTCAATTTATTCCTTATAGTATTACCTTTACAATACATTCTCACATTTTTATTTGTCATTGATATTTCCAAAGATATTAACTAAAATACGAGGAGATGTTTTTTCTTTGTAATACAATTATATCGCTTTAAATTTGAAAATTGTATTACTAACAAATGAAAAGCAACAGAAACAATTAATTTCTCTTAATTTGCTCATTTTAGTATCACCTTTAAAGTGCATGTTCATACTTTAATTAGTTTTTAATATTTATAAAGATATACCAATTTTTTTTTTAAACTTACAATTATTTTTTATCAAATTTGAAAACTTATTACTAACAAACCAAAAGCGATACAATAATTTATTTACCTTCAATTTATTCCTTATAGTATTACCTTTACAATACATTCTCACATTTTTATTTGTCATTGATATTTCCAAAGATATTAACTAAAATACGAGGAGATGTTTTTTCTTTGTAATACAATTATATCGCTTTAAATTTGAAAATTGTATTACTAACAAATGAAAAGCAACAGAAACAATTAATTTCTCTTAATTTGCTCATTTTAGTATCACCTTTAAAGTGCATATTCATACTTTAATTAGTTTTTAATATTTATAAAGATATACCAATTTTTTTTTTAAACTTACAATTATTTTTTATCAAATTTAAAAACTCATTACTAACAAACCAAAAGCGATACAATAATTTATTTACCTTCAATTTATTCCTTATAGTATTACCTTTACAATACATACTCACATTTTTATTTGTCATTAATATTTCCAAAGATATTAACTAAAATACGAGGAAATGTTTTTTTTTTGATAATACAATTATATCGCTTTAAATGTGAAAATTGTATTACTAACAAATAAAAAGCAACAGAAACAATTATTTGCTCTTAATTTGTTCATTTTAGTATCACCTTTAAAATGCATAGTCATACTTTAATTAGTTTTTAATATTTACAAAGATATACCAATTTTTTTTTTCGAAACTTACAATTATTTTTCGTCAAATTTGATAACTCATTACTAACAAACCAAAAGCGACACAATAATTTATTTACCCTCAATTTATTCCTTATAGTATTACCTTTACAATACATACTCACATTTTTATTTGTCATTGATATTTCCAAATATATTAACTAAAATACGAGGAGATGTTTTTTTTTGTAATACAATTATATCGCTTTAAATTTGAAAATTGTATTACTAACAAATGCAAAGCAACAGAAACAATTATTTGCTCTTAATTTGCTCATTTTAGAATCACCTTTAAAGTGCATGTTCATACTTTAATCAGTTTTTAATATTTATAAAGATATACTAATTTTTCTTTTCGAAACTTACAATTATTTTTTATCAAATTTGAAAACTCATTACTAACAAACCAAAAGCGACACAATAATTTATTTACCCTCAATTTATTCCTTATAGTATTACCTTTCAAATGTATACTAATAATTCAATTTCTTTATATTAATTTTAGAGAAATAGCGCAAAAACCAGAAGCACCACATTTCCAAAATCAATAAATTTGCAATAAATAATTTGACAACTTTCCGTTTTCAATACAGCAAATTATAATGAACTAATTTAAAAAAAAAACACACATCATTATTCTAAAAATACATGCAAATTGTTTACATGCGAATTCCAAAACGTCGAGAAAGTCGAAATTTCAATATTTCCACGAATTGTTTTCTTTCACTCTTGATCGCTTACACATGTTCTATAGTCCGTGCAATTAGTGGACGAATAAACAATAATAAACAATAACGAAATTGGAGTGTAAAAAATTCATTAAATATTACAGATTTGAAGCATTGTTCTTCAAGTTATAATAATTTAATATAAAATGTTTCAATTTGTTTTACTTATAACAGAAAAATGAAAAATAACAAACTAATTTAAATGTAGTCAATGTATTGCTTGATATATTGATTTTCAAATGCATGCTCATATTTCATTTAAACAGTTATAGTTTCGGAGTTGTACGATAAAATGCGAAGGCGGTGGTGAAAATTTCATTTATTCAAATTGCAAAAAAACGATAAAAGTCAGAAACGCGGATTAAAACGTGTGTCACTTCCCATTATCTTACCTTTAATTTGAATGTTCACTGCTTCAGCTGACTCAACTAGTTATCGAGAAAAGTGGCGAATTATGAAGACACTCCAAGGTCTCAAAATGTTAATTAAACATAAAATGATACTAAACATCACTTTGAAACAATTATTTCAATGAGAATTAAAGCTTTATAAATAACGAATTATTAAATAAAAAAAGTTATGAAATAAACCCGAAAGAAAGTGGTTCAATAAAGTATTGTTGCCAAAGAAAATGATCAAATTACGTGGAGAAAACGACAGAAGGTGTTGGAAATGGGTAATTGCCATAATCGTTATTGGCATTCTTCTAGAATGAATGAAAACTAAGGAAAAAGTAAGGAATATTGATGAAAATATGCGAAATATTTGTGGCCGTTGGATTCGTCCTTGTTGAAGGAGGCAAAAAATATAGAAATAGTTTTGCAATCGTCGGTGATAACAAACGAACACTAAAAAAAAATATGTGAAAGGACGATTCCGTATCTATCCATGTTTGTGTCCATTGAACGATGTCGCCGCAACGAGTATTGTTGTCCTATTTTCTGCTTTGGCAAATCCGCCGGACTCTGGGTGAGTTTTTGTTGTTATCTATCTATTTTAGTCTACTAATAAGTAGGAATTGCATTGAGGAAGTTGAGAGAATCGAGCACCTTGACTTTATTATTAATTGGAAAGCAAAAAAAAAAAAAAAACGAGTGTGCTCTGAGTAATTGTTTCTCTTGTTTAAGTCGCGGTACTTCCTTGATCTTTGCTGCTGTCTTATTGATCAGATTGTGCAAATATTTGATTGCAGTTTGCTTCGTGATTGCACGTGTTTTGAGTGTGTTTGCGTATTTGCAGGAAGCGACTGCGGCCGAGCTTTAGGTGTACCGGATTTGCAAGGAAAGATAGTCGGAGGATACGATGTGGGCTATTACAAGTATCCTTGGTTCGCGAGTCTCTTATTAGATGGTCAGCCTTGGTGCGGTGGGACCCTGATCGGCCCGAAGACCGTCGTGACAGCGGCGCATTGCTTCAAACAGTACCTCGTCCAGCCGAAGTAAACTAGAAATTTAAACGTAAAAATTGCAAAAATATTTGCTGATTCTCTGTTTCTTCTTAGCGCGGATCTGAGTCGCATCTACACGGTCAAATTGGGTCTCTACAATTGGTGTCACAACGAGTCCAGCGCGAAGGAGTACCACGTGAAGAAGGTGGATGTTCACGAGAACTACATGAAGAAGAAACCCTACTACGACATCTGTCTTTTGACGTTGAACCGAAACGCCGAAGAGTACACGCCCGCTTGTCTTCCGCCCGCATCTCTGGATGATCGGACGAGAGGTAGGGAAGCTGTGATCATCGGCTTGGGAACGGCCAAGTACGGAGCGGACAAGTATCCGTGCAGCATGCACGAGGGCAGAGTCCTGATCTACAAGGATAAAACATGCAAGAGTATGATCAAAAACGCAACTCAGGACAAAGAGGATTACCCGATGACGAACGCGTTCTGCGCCGGATACATGGAAGGTGGCGTGGACGCCTGTCAAGTAGAACAAAAAAAAAAACAATAGCTCATCCACTAAATTGATTTCAACTGTTATTTACAGGGTGACAGCGGCGGTCCGATCATGTCCATGGGACACAACGGAAGATACTCAATTATAGGTGACGAAACAATAACATATACATTGTTATTGAAAATTACAAAATTCTTTCGAAGGTTTAACATCTTTCGGATACGACTGCGCCAAGAAGGATCTATTGGGGATCTACACGGACGTGTCGCATTACCTGGGATGGATCAAGGAGAAGAGCGGGATCGAATCGCAGGCGGCTGCGATAACAACATCGAAACCGGACGCCGAAGTCAAGCCAACGTCTTCCGATAACGTCACAATCGACATCTCAGATGGCGCTCCCAATGTCACCGAATTTCCGGTTTTCCCCTGGGTCGCACCGACGACGAAAAGACCACCTTTTGGTAATTATTCTCTCACATATTACAGAAAAACAGATACAAATCTAGCATTATTAATATATTTTATGTTATACAAATCTTGCTAAATGTTACATAAAATTGTATTTTATAACGCTGTCAATCTGACAAGTATTGTGTGACAATTATGTCAAATTAATCAAAGCAATTATCTGTCAACATGACAGTTTCATTGTTATTTTTTTTGCAAAATATTCTCAAAAATTAATACTTAAAACGTATTACGTGATGTATATAAATTAATAACATTATTAATATATTTTATGTTATACAAATCTTGCTAAATGTTACATAAAAATGTATTTTATAACGCTGTCAATCTGACAAGTATTGTGTGACAATGTCAAATTAATCAAAGCAATTATCTGTCAACATGACAGTTTCACTGATATTTTTTTTGCAAAATATTCTCAAAAATTAATACTTAAAGCGTATTACATGATGTATATAAATTAATAACATTATTAATATATTTTATGTTATACAAATGTTGCTAAATGTTACATAAAATTGTATTTTATAAAGCTGTCAATCTGACAAGTATTGTGCACCGCAGCACATTGCATACAACGACAGTAAGAAACAATTATGTCTAATTAATCAAATCAATTATCTGTCAACATGACAGTTTCATCGATACATTTGTTGCAAAATATTCTCAAAAATCAATACTTAAAGCGTATTACATGATGTATATAAATTAATAACATTATTAATATATTTTATGTTATACAAATGTTGCTAAATGTTACATAAAATTGTATTTTATAAAGCTATCAATCTGACAAATATTGTGTGACATTTATGTCAAATTAATCAAAGCAATTATCTGTCAACATGACAGTTTCATTGATATTTTTTTGCAAAATATTCTAAAAAAAATAATACTTAAAACGTATTACATGATGTGAATAAATTAACACATTGACGACGGCATGATCCACCGGTGGGTCATTAATTATAAATAATAGTTTTGTTGCTATGTACGCCACTGATTTTGATCAATTACAAACTTTAAACACCAATACATTCATTACTTAATTTAGGGTCATGAATTATGTATAATAGTTTAGTCGCTGATTTTGACTGAGAATAACCTCAAATATCTTCAATTACAAACTTTAATCGCGAATACCGGGCGAAATTGCCAATTA